GCATTTGCACCACCCACCAATTCTTTATCTTCAGCAGATAAATCTTCACTCGTGTTCTTCTCCTGAGATATCGGCCCTGATTGAATGCCTATGCTCTGAACTATGTTCTCTCGAGCATCTTCACCTGCAAGTAACCGAAAATAAAGATTATATAGTATAACGAAATCTAGCAATAAAATAACTGATCAACAATATAACTTGATCCTTCCGTTATGTCTAATTCAAAACCCATATACGAAATCCGAACTACTGTACCCCAGTTTCTCTATATCTGAAATGACCGAATTTCCATCAGCGTGGTTACATAATAAGTTTCAGCATAAAGGCATACCCAAATCCAGAAATGAGCAAAACAATAACAACAATAATAATCATAATGATAAGCCAAACCTTTGCCAACATACAAGACCCATCCGAAAACTGCAGAGGAAACAAGGCACAAAAGCAGCATCCCAACCTTCTTTCGAGGGGCGAATTTGCAGAACCATTGGAACAACTTCTCCTTATCCTTGAGCATCTTCGGAGGCTTTCTAGGCGGTGTGATTTGAACGGGTAATAGTAGCGAGCCGTTTTGGATTTGCTGCTGCTGTTGCAATGAACCATAACTCCCTGAAGATCGAAGGCCCAAAGATCCTCCTCCTCCTGTACTCATTATCCCCAAGCCTCACCGCTCATCTCCCTATTCTCATCCACACTTTTGCCGGCTATATTGAATACTCAACACCGAGTAGGGAAAAATGAAAAGAAACAAAAACAAGAAACTACCAAGAAGGGGAAAAATTGCTCTACTTTATCCCTTTCCCTAATATCGCCTCCAATTTGGGCGAAAACCATAAAAGCTAGCTACCCTCAAAATTGAATCTTTATCACTTTGTCGCTTGTAAAATCCACCAAATTCCAAAGACCCACTTGTGATAAGAAAATCAGATACAAAAAAACAGTTTCTCCTGTGAACCCCCACGTGAAAAATTACAGATAAATATAAATGAATGGAAACTGTTAATGGGGCTGGAAAAACCCAACTGGAGTTCGACTTTGTCGAATGAAACTGGGTAAGGGATCCCGAACTTTTTTGAAATGTTACGAGCAACAAATAAGTAGCATTGAATTATATCAAGACTCTGTGATTGAAGAAACTGAATCCAAGAAAACACGAAGCGAATCACTAATCGGTCTCCAAATCCGGACAGGAGGGAAAGAAACGTATTCAACTGCAAGTCTACTAATTATTACAATGTTTATATTTGATCTAGGGTTTGTTTGAAATCGATCCAGATCACCATCCAGTCGCTGTTTAATTGGGGCATGTATNTTCTAATTAATCAATAATAAAATGTAGTACTAAAGTACTCCCTCTGTTTCAAATTAGATGTCGTTTTGACTTTTTTGATTCATCCATTTTGCTACGTATCTAGACATAAATATGTCTAGATACGTAGCAAAATGGATGAATCAAAAAAGTCAAAACGACATTTAATAAGAAACGGAGGGAGTAAGTAATATATATTTTTATTAATTGTAGGAAGAGAAATAAAGGTCAATTCATAATGCTTTCCAGTCTAATTTCTTACCACTTTTTTTTAACCAACAAAATTTTGTGCCAAACTTCTTTACCCTTTTTTATTTTTGTAGAGTATAAATTAGATTTGCAATAACACGAGTCAACTGATGGCCTGTTATGACGTTTAAAGTAGTTAGTTATTTGGTTATGTAAAGTATGTAAAATGCTCTCGTGTTTACGCACAAGTTAATTTAATTACCAACTGATGCACAAATAATGTTGTTAGTCTGTGTAACTGTTAGATAATCACATTTTCTAAAACTATGCATACGTATATTATATAATGTGATATTTTTGTTGGCCATTGTAATTAAAGTATAACATCTAAGTGTATAAATATGTATTTTTGTTGAAAAAGTGGTTGTCTAACCATTAGACAACCTAACAGAAGACTTACTGTCAACTAATGTGTTACGAAATTAGCATATCATACACAGTGGATAATCTACATTAGCGGTGGAAAAATCATGAGATCTTCACACATAGTTGGTGGGTACATATTATATAACGTTGGGTATATGAACATACATTTTCAATAAATATGAATACTTTATATTGAAGTGTCATACTCTAAAAAACAACATAAATAGAAGTATGACAATACATTATATAGATTAGACCACCTCACACAAAAAATTTGTACTAGAACGTTTGTATATACATATATAGGCTAAGTTTTTTTAATAATTATATTGTAATGCAAAAGGTACTCAAGTGAGTGATGTCCCTTAAACAGTTCAATAGGTCATATCACAGGCTATCTAATGATTAGACGATCATACTTGTCACACTCAAATGTCGTTATTTAAATTGCTAAACAAAATCGAGACTTTTATAACAAAATAGACACAAATTTAACTCCTAAAACTGAAGCACACAAGAAAAACAAAACAAAGTCCTAAATTGAGTACCAACACAAGATTCCGGCCAAAACACAAACTCGAAGTAATAAGCCCTAATGAAGATACTTACCCTCCTAGCGCAAGCTCGGGCGAAAATAATGCGTAAGATCGAATTTTAGATAAAAATAAAGTCGCCAAAAAAGTCACCGGAAAATATCAAGTCTTGGATATCCAAACCAAAGCAAAAAATAAAAGAGAGAACAAGAGATAATTTTCCAACTAAAAAATGAAGGTGGTGTCCAAAAATACAAAGCAAGATGTCTATTTATAGTCACACTCAAAACACACACTAAAAACAAACACAATTAATGAAATTCTGGGCTGGTCGGGTCTCGAAGCAGGTTTCGCAACGAGTTGGCATGGTGAGCATGGGGCTGGCCCGGGCTGGGCTCGCTGGCGAGCAGACGCCTGGTGGTCTCACGCCGGCGTGGGCTCGAGCTCACAACGAGTGTGCAGGCAGGAGCTGGGGGCGCGCGGTCGCGAGAAAGAACACGCAGCGAGTGCACGGCCGAGCACTCGCGACCTGGCAAAGTCTTTCGTGCCCGCGAAACTGGCAGGCGGCGCGCGGGGACGCGAGTGCGAGCGTGTTGCGTGCTCGCGGGTCTTGACTCGAAAAAAGCCCGGGATGGCTCGGACAGCTCGGCAATGGTTCGGATGGATCTCGAGATGGCTCAGTCGGTTCAGTAGGCTCGGCCGCTCAGGCGGCTCATATTCCCAAGCTTCGCAATAATTGACTTATTCAACACTAAAAAGACAAAAAAAATACGACAAATCACAAAAACACAAAAGGACATCAAATGCACGAAATACGATAAAATTGACCAGTCGAAACTAAAACGAACCTAAAAAGACACGACTAGGGCACGAAAAAAACATGAAAGTACCACAAAAACACAACAAACAGTGAGCATATAGAATCGGGTGTTGAAATGGTGTATGGTATGGGGGAAACTTCATTTGAGGAGTTGGTTGTGCCTATTCATGAGTTGGATGATTCTAGCGGACTTGACCATACCCGGGATGAGGAGGATGAATTAGTTCATGATGTTGAGGAGGATTCCGAGTCATTATGTGATGTCATTGACCCAATGTTTTCGTTGAATGATGATTTGACTCTTGATATTGAGTATGAAATGGTTCCCACATATCTTTTGGTCGATCTTATTTGCTTGAGATTTTCTATTTTTAACGTGTGGAACTCTTCTTTGGTGGCAAGGGACTTGATGTATTTATAGGCTATAGGGACTCTAAGGGGATGCTAAATATGGGCTCCCCAGGTATGAGCATAACTACGGGTCAAGTCTATTCTACTCATACTTGAATAATATTTCATTCCACTATAGAAATACTCCCTCTGTTTCGTTTTAAATGTCGTTGTAGGGTGTCAACTTTTTTGCAAATTAATTGTCGTTGGAAATATTATATTCATTCTTACATCTTTATTCTCTTTAACAAACATTATCTCTTATCATTATCTTTAAAAACCACCCATTAATAAATCAAAAACTAAATTTAATAAGATTAAAAAATAAGATTATTACACAACCCATTAAAATCGTAATTTAGAAGTTTTAAATTAAAACGACATTTAATAAGAAACGGAGGGAGTATTATTGCACTCGCTATTTAGCTCCCAAATTATAAATAATTTATCTCCCGGCTAATTGCTCGATTTACCTTCTCATGTTTAAGATATAACGTCTGTTGATTAATTTAATTACCAACAATATAATTAATCAGCTTCTTTATCCGAAAATAGTACTACTTAATTATTTATCATTATGTTGAAATTAATCCGTTGGGCCGGACTTGACATAATAATCCTTATTGAGTTCATTTTGGGGACGTCATCAACCCGACATACTGGGATATGGTGGCCGTAAACAATATTAACACATCATGCCATCGACATTATTTATCAAAATACGTACGGAGTCTATTGACCTAAGAGAATGAGTCTCGCACATGATAAATCAAATAAATAATAACCGAATACATATGCTTATTTATTGTCTTACGAGTTAAGATAATGCAACAATTACTGAGGTCTAGATTATTTATTTGGTCAGTATAAAATAATCTTATTCTTCTATAGGTTCATTCAATACATCCGAGATGTACTAGTATAATCATTAATCAAGGATCAACTAACTCGAAAATCAAACTACAGCCTTTCACTACAGTTAGTTCAATTTTGTCTCGGCTGTGAACAAAAATTTATATTTTACAAGGTATGTTCGACACATCGAACCATATTATCTACCATGTAAAATAAAAGAACCATGTTCGCATAAATAAATAAACAACGAACATATACTTGACTAAAATCATGAACCTCATTTAAAATGGAACTGGGAGTTACACAAACCCCGAGCATTTACAGTATACTCCAACAATTACAACCTTCATCCCCATTAACTAGTATGTTTGCAAAGTTTTGGTCCAATGGTGAAGGGCAAGCTGCAGGTATACATTGGAAGGATTGGTATGGAGAATTGCTACTATGCCTAATTTGCTTGTGAGTAAGATTCTCAAGAGCAAATTTATACTTCCCAGAGGGCAACATCTTCTCTGCTCAAAGAACCCAAAGTTCCTATTGGCTCTGGTGTACATGGATGGCTGTAAAGAACAAGCATAAGCAGTGTTTCAAGAGAGTTATTTGTGAGCCCCCAAGGCGTGAGCGCAACTGGCTGATGGTGGAGAGGTAAGGCCTTGTTGAAGCCAGAGGTCAGGAGTTTGATCCTGACTATCATGGGAGTAGGGGATGGGGAACTCCTACTGTTCTAGGTGGATTAGTCCCACCTCTCTGGGTGTGGATCTTGTAGCCCGTTTGGGCCATGGACCGGTTAGGCCTGTACCCTCTAAAGGGCAAGGCGAGTGGCTTGGGAGTTTGTGGTGAGACCCCGAATGAATGTGGGGATACCACCCAGTCGAAAAAAAAAAAAAAAAAAAAAAAAAGTTATTGGTGATGGTCTCTCAACCAAAATTTGGCTGGATCCATGGTTGCCTTCAACTGCAACAGGTATTCCAACTCTTAAACCAAACATTGTAACTGATGTTTTGTATGTTTGGGAATTAATGGAAGAGGGTGGATGGAGATGGAACCTCAACCTGCTAAAACAGTTATTCTTGGAAGAGGACTACAAAGCCATTTTGCAAATCAACTCAATCAATTCGACCAGATTAGACCAGTGGTCTTAGGACAGAAATGCCAAAGGAGAGTTTCAAGCGGCTAAGGCATACGCCAAATTTGTGGAAGGTAAGTTCAAAAATCTTGACATAGCTGAGTGCAGTGGTCAAGCACTCAAGAGCAGGAAAATAAGATTGAGGAGCTGAAGACTAAATATCAAGGGTAAGTTAAAAACTTTGTTTGGAGGAGCTTCACTAATTTTATTCCTATCAAAAGCAATCTGATAAAGAGAGGAATGGAAGTGGACTGCATCTCTCAAAGTTGTGGAGAGCATATTGAGACAGCCGAGCACTTGTTTTTCCATTGTGAAAAGGCCAAGCAATTTTGCATATTGGCTCATGTAACTTGGGATTTCAGCACTGAAACCACTACCAGCTTCAGAGTGTAGTGGAAGAATGTATGTTCGGTAGATAGAAAAGATATATCAGAGGCCCGCATATAGTTGACCACTTATATCTTATGGCGGTTGTGGAAATCCCGTAGCTTGTGGATCTTCAAGCATGAATGACTATCAGTCCATGTTATAGTAAAAGCAGCAGTGGCAGACTGGTAGGAATTTCTTTCTCGACTCAATTAATGATTAACACTGGGAAAATGGAGGGAGTCTAGATGCCTTGGTTTCAGTGGACACTCCTTTCTGCATTGAAGAT